GCATGCACTGATTGCAGCGCGTAAGGAGCATGCACTGATTGCAGTGCGTAAGGAGCATGCACTGATTACAGTGTGTAAGGAGCATGCACTGATTGCAGCGCGTAAGGAGCATGCACTGATTACAGTGCTTGCCACACCCACCACACGACAAATCACCTCAGGGATGAGAACCTGAGTGCAGCCATGTGCCCGGTGACACCTCAGCACCACACTAGTCCGAATGGACCAGTGTGAGTTTTTTTTTCTGTGGCTGGAGTGCCAATCCTGCCACCAAACCCCACGTTTTTCCCCTGTAAGTTGGAGAACCTCCTTATAGTTGGATGTAGATTAATGTCATATCCAGGACAAAGCAATTGCAGGTTAAATGGCAAGGCCTTGCTCAAGGGCCCAACGGAATAGGACCACTCTGGGCATTCACAGGATTTGAACCAGCAACCTTCTGATTGCTGGCCTCAGAGCCACCACTCTGGCAATTCACATATGGACGCGATAATACAGAAAACATAAACAAGTCAGGCGTTTTTTTTGGCATTTTAGAGTTGATCATGTTAAAAAGAACAAAAAATTACAACACTGATTTCACAGGGCATTACTTCACAGACAATGTTCCGTTTTTTGACTAAAAGAAAAAGTTACTTCTCCTTATTTTAGAAAAGAAAAATGCCTGACTGACAACAACTATTGACCAAATTTCTAATGGCAGCAGAAGCTACCGCGACAATATCACAAGGGGTAAAATTGTATATATCTTTAAATAGGCATTAGCTAGTGACATTTTATACTCTATTGCCACATTGCTCTTTGCAGACAGAGAACAAAAGGACTGCATTGAAAGAGTGATATTCAAAGGCTGGTTTAAGTAACATATTTTGTTGGTAAACAGAAGGAACTTCAAATATACTAACAAAATATAAATTCCCCCAAATTACAATCACAATTGCTAATTCTAAATTCAAAATGAACAAAGCTAACAATTTATAAGCAATGCTTACCATCTCAGGAAGTCTCATAATCAGATCCTCTTCACTCTAATATCAGAGACATAAAAGGCAGTACTGAAGACCCTCCACTGGTAAGATAAAAGATTTTTAAAATCCTTTAGGCGCTGAAATCCTTTCATACTCCGTGGCTTACCTGGCTTTCACTTTTATCCAGCTTCTTGGCAGAGCTTGTTCTGCTGTCCGCTCGCATCAGTCGCCTTGCTGAACCTTCAGCCTGACCGAAGCAAATCACACACACAGTTACACACAACACTCGGACGACAGCAAACATCACTGAGCAGATTGTAAAGGCCCCAGTCCACAGGGCCAATCGAAGTCAGCATAGGTAAATATGGATTACTACATACAGCCCTTATCTCACATGGACATTAACAGACATGGCTCATAAGTTATGAAACACCACCTTCCTCCCTCCACATGGTCCTATTGTGAGCAGGACTGAACTAACACTGCAACTCTTGTGAAAATACCTACATGCTGAAGATGCAACCATGACTATAAACACAGTTAATCCACTTGACAAAACAAAAGATTCAGCAGATTGCTGTCCAGGCAGTCCGACTGGTTTTGCTCTGATCACGGAGATATGTATGCTCTTCTTGACTTCTGGCAGGAGCAATAACAATCTCAAGTATGATAAAATAACGTAGAAAACTTTAACGGCTCACTTATGTTTGCAAACATGTGTTCCTTGATACTCAGATTGGACTGGATTGCTAACTCAATAAGCAGCTCCCCGCTCATCGTTTACTGGCGACGTTGATACGTCAGACCTCGTGAGATCTGCGTCTGCAAAACAAGCTTCAGCATGACTTTTTTTGTCGGAATTGGTACAAAGCTGAAAAACGCGTTTATTCAGCCGCACATTATACTTTCCGTGTAATTTACTTTAAACTACATATAGTAATGTAATACGCATCTTAAATACGCTAAAGGGAAATACCTCTAAATAACATAATTCAACGAAGAAATTAAGTGATATTGACTCCGTATATCTACATCGACTTAATACATATCTTATTTCTTGTTTTTATTGGCTTGAGGTGTCTCCGAAAACGACTGAGCACACCCCGCTGTTCCCATGACTGCCAGCTAGGTAACATAATAAAAATGAATCATCCGCCAGGACGTGATCTGTAAAGATCCATGGATCTAACAAACAGTTGAAAGTCATACCAACACCGACTAGTTGCAAAGCATTTCGCAACTGAAGAGAACATCGATTATATTATTTATTGTTCTTGAGAAGCAAAACTGACACATTTAACTTGACTCGCTTTTAACAAAAGCGAAGGTTTTATTGTTTTCTCTTACTGGAAATTTAACGCGAAAGGTTTATAACGAAGTATCTGGATTTTTTACGTAAATAAACCCGTAAATATACCAATATGGACTGAACTATTTGTATGTTCAATAGATTCTAGACGCTGATAAATCAAGAGATACACCAAGCGTAAGTAAACGATTAGTTTTGAGGAAGTTGGAACACTGGGTTAAAAACAGCAGTCAAGTAATCTCTCATCGGTTATCCTCTATTTAGAGTATTGATGGCTTATACAAACAGGCACTAAAACCAAGGAAAATCTCACAAAGGTTTAAATCAAACCAGTTCATATTGTAGTAGGTGCGCAAAGCGATGGATGTAACACTGAAAAGCACCTCACCTCCTTGATTATGTGCCGGAGCGAATCGTCCTCACTCATTCCCCGGGAGAGCGTTCGCGTCCTCGGCGTGCTCAGTCTGTCCAGGGTGCCGGACTGCATTGTCATACGGGCCCCAAAACTGTAACTACTAAAAGTTTGAGTGTGACTGCACTTCCAGGCGCTGGTCTATCACTGCTTTTCAGTTTGCCGTAGGTGAAGGACTGAAACGCAGTTTCGCCCGGATAGTGGGAGGTAACCAGATGTGAATATCTGAATGGGCGTAGCGTTGGTTACTTGCTTCAGACTGACAAAAGGTCTGTTTTTTTTCCGCAATGCCAACATGCAATCCCCACCATTTTGTCAAATATTAATGCTAGGTACGACTCCTGCTATATTTAACTTATTCTTAACCGATACAAAAATAAAATAAAATTCTACATTCACACAACTGAAAGCGCAAAAGAATGCTGTCCGACATTAATACATACTACGTAGGCCTGTAGAAAAGTGATAATTTGGAAAACGTTAGTATATGTAAAACGCAAGTTTTGTCCATGTATCTTTAGCTAAAACATTTTAATTACAACCTGTCGTATTTCAATTTAATTAATGTAATTAGAAATGGACAATTTAGTACGATTCAGTTGTTTAGATGTTTAGTGCTTGTAAATATCAAATAGGCCTACTGAAAACAACTATCTTCTCGTGCTTCCATTTAAGCAGGTAGGTATCTGTACCATCTATACTTGATGCTCTGATAATAGCGTTAAGTTACAGATTTTTACATTTTGTTTACAGCTGCCTACAGCCTCATCATTTTCTATATTTACATTTTTGAAAGTGAAACGTCACCAGGGTAATCTCCCCGAATCAAGGAAAATACAGACACTCTTTGTCACTGTATTGTTATGATAAATAGTCAAATTTGTATCAAAAGACAATTTACATTTTTTAACTATTCTGAACATAATTAGACGATCCACATAAAATAATTTAAAACATGATTACTGATATGTACAAAAGCCTAGTTCTGTTATTTGAAATGCATTTAGAAAACTGAACAAAAGAACTAAAAATAACTGGGTAAATAACAGATTTTTCATTACGCAAGCTCATTATACTGTTGTCTAGTGATAAATTGCTAACATTTGCTGACAATGACTTAACATAAACAGGAATTGTCTTAAATGCAGGGAGAGGTTCTGCATGCAGTGGAAGGTCCCTGGTTTTCCCCGACCTGCCAGGATACCAGTTCTTCCTGAGAGTAATGAGGGCAGTGGCCTCTCCAGAGGTGCTTAGACATAGGGTGCCCTGGTGACCATTAGCTTGGCTTACTGTCTCTGCACATGTTCCTGGTGTCAGCTTTGTCCACATTGGACTGTTAAAGGTGTCTAACCTCAGCTCTCAATGACCACTATGACCTACAGGTAGGATTTCATGGGTATGAGGTTTGATACTTGGATGATGATTTTCAGACCATTGTCGTCTCTTTCTGGTCCACACTACCCTTTTACTATTTGCGCCAGCCACATCAGTGGGGAGTAACCTGCAAACTCACGTCATGCTCTGCATATAGACCAGATCTTGTGATTTTAAGTAAGTTGAAAGGAAATTTATGATTAACGGGGGTGTATTTGGTTATGTGACGCAAAGACAGATGACCTGAGTTTTTTTTCTGATCAGTTCTGCCTTAGAGATGGGAAGTTGGGTTCAATTTACAGAACCGATTCTATCAAACGTTCGACTCAAAGAATTCAAAGAATTGGTT